TTTAATGTTAGAATTTGTGTTTTGATCCCATCACTTGAATTGTATTTGTTTGTACAGTACCTACATTTTTAGTCTTGTCGTGAGCCACCTTGAGTCACAGTTTGCGGACAACGGTGAAATACAAATAAAATAAATACATTAAAATGAAAAAAAAAATGATGACTTTCCCTTCACACACTTAACAGCTATTTAAGTAGGTGAACCCACAGTAGAACTGTGCTCCCATTGTCTCTATATGACAACTGTTTGGTACATTTGTGTGTATGTTCCTTCAAGTCTCCTGTTGTCTTATGGCGACCCCATGCAATTTCATAGTTTTCATAAGCAAGTATGTAATACATAGAGATGGTTTTGCCAGTTTCTTCCTCTGAAATGCAGCCTACAGCACCTGGTATTCATTAGCGGTCTCCCATCAAAGCACTAAGCAGAGCTGACTCAGCTTAGCTTTCAAGATCAGACTAGATCTGGTGCCTTTAGGATATTTGTGAGATTCCAATTTGGAGTGTTAAGTGCAGTCTTTACAGAGATACAAATTCTTCAACACCAAATAGAAATCTTTGCCCCCCCCCCCCCAAAAAAAAATCTTAGGAGGAAGAGAAGGCAGGATGACATCTGATTCCTGTCAAAGTCAAATATGCTTTTGTTGAATTCATGGTTTATTAACTTTCTTGAGTTCCACATGTAGAGCATTGCTTAAACAACTGAATTTACTTTACTCTTTTCCACTGCTTTGGGGACCCAGTCACCAGGGAAAAACTGTATAACTTGCTGAGTAGGAGCTATGGTAAAACAACAAAACTGAGCACAAATCGTGATAAATGCATGGTGTAAGCAAGGTAGAAAGGAGGGGAAATGTTTTTTTTTTCCTTGCTGGATTTGTGCTGTCATACAAAAAATGATTTCAAGGGCTTATTTATAGTCTTTTTAAAGGGCAAATTTTAGACATCACAAAATGTGCTTCAGCTAGCCACCCCCTCAGTAAATACAGAGCTACTCTGATGTCAGGAAAAGAAACTAAAGTTTAGTTCTCATGTTTAGTTTTGGATATAGTAAAATCACCACATGGTCAGTTTTCCATCCATTTTTGGCTCTGCGATTATAAGCACCAGTTGTAACAGTGGGAGGGCAAATGTAAATGTTACATTTACCACTTAATATTGTTATTATGTGGCTTCAAATTATTTCTGACTTACATAGCAACCCTAAGGCAAACCTGTTGTGAGGTTTTCTTGGCAGAATTTGTTCAGAGGGCAATTGCCTCTGAGGTTGAGAAAATGTGACTTACCCAAGATCATCCAGTGGGTTTCACATACACTTCCCCCTTCAGTTTTCCACTGAGCAGTCTTAAAGAAAGGAAGACTTTGGAAATTGGTAAATGCCAAACTGAAAAAGTGAGTGGAAGTGGCTGTATGTCATGCTGTAAAGATATTTGGGGAGAGGCTTATACAGTTATCTCTCTTTTCGTAGACTTGGAATCCGTGACCTTGCTCTTCGCAGGAGGAACAAACGCTTATTATTGTAATGGGGGCACGTGTGCATGCCCATCACAGATGTGCAGCCCATTATTTCCTATTGGACTCAAATATGTGCGAGTCGCCATTTTCATGAGGGGGTCCAGAATGGATTCCCCGCAAATTAGGCGGAGCTACTGTAGTCAGAAATGTTAGAGCGGATTAAGCAAACTGTGGCAAATTCTGCTGTAAATATATATGTGTGATACTGCAAAGGTAGGTGTAAGTCAGAAAAAAAATTCAAATGTTTTAAATTTATTTTATTCAATTGAAAAGGTGGGCTCCCCCACCCACCCCACCCCTGCCAAGACAATATTTTCTCAAACCTTTGTGGTACAGATGTACAGGGCTATAATTCGCATAATCTCTGGACGGCATGACAATTGATCATGGTATGGTGGGGATTGTAGTCCCATTCATCTGGGAAGCACCAGATTGGGGAAGTCTACCTGAGGAGTTCTGTTCCTATACAAGTAAGGAAGCTCTGTAATTTTGTCCCTGGTTGGAGTTGTGGTGGTGGTGATAGCAAGCATCTAAATTTGGTGTCCCCATAATTCAGATACCGTGCTAAGAGAAACAAAATTCTGTATAAATTACCAAAATTGAATAGATGTCCATTACAGTATCCACAGATTCTGTAGCATCTGTGGATCCAGCCATCTTGGAACCAAACCTCAGCACTGTATCATCTGGGGTTATTATAGAATCTGTCTATTGATAGATTTTATCTATCTAGATTCTGTCTGTTTTTCTATCTGTCTGACTGTTGATAGATCCATACTCTTGTTAACTGGGGCTGGTTACAAGGAGCACACAACTCAGCTGGCTGTCGGTTCCTTTCCAGGCACAATTCAAAGTGCTGGCGCTGACCTGTGAAGCCCTATATGGCTTGGTTCCAAACTGTTTGAAGAACTGTATCTCCTTTTATGAACCCATTTGAGCTCTAAGATTTTCTGGAGACATCCTTCTTTTAAAAATTTCAAAAATGCATAGTCTTTTCATTAATTTTAATGTTTTAATGTTTAATGTTTTAACCTCATAAATTGTTTAATTGCTTTCTAAATAACTTTTATATTTATGCTTTTATTGAACTTTTGTACAGTTTAAATCTGTATTGTTTTTAAGTATATTATTAGCCACCTTGATTCTCATTATTGGGGGAAAGACAGGTTATTATCATTATTGCCATCTATTAAACTGGCTTGCATAATGTATTCTGTTAAGTCACTGGAGCCCCCTTCTACCTGTCCTGGTATTTTTTCAGCAACTCCCTGGCTACTGAAGCTGCAGAAGGCATTACTTAGGCAGCTTTGAAGCCTAGAAATTAAAAATAGTAAGGTTCACAGGAAGTTCAGGTTTGTTGGGCATCCTGCATCCTGTGCTTTTTCTCTACATCTGAAGTTGCTGCAAACTTACAAATACCTCAGTATTAAAACTTTGTCTGTCACATTATAAAATAAAGCCATATGAATCATATTTTAGAAGGAGAACGATGACACATCAGTCTTAGAAATAAGTAAGATTGGTAGAAGATTCCATGTGCACAGAGCTCAGAAAGATACTGTTTTAAAGCAGTTCATGGTGCAATTCATTATTGTTGAGTTTAGTGGTAACTTTAAAAAGGAACTAGAAAAGGGTATTTACTACACCAGAAAAGTAACCTTGGTTGGGATCCTGCACAAGAGATATATCTACAACCTCTTTCAACCTAACCCGATCCAACCCATCTTGAAAGCCAGGGAGGGACACTAACCGAAGTTCTGGGGCACTGCCAAGCAGAGCGCTGAAGGATGACACATCCCACCTCTTCCTTCCAGCAAGTCACAGCAGTGGGGGCCTTGCACAATTGCTTATCACATTGCATTTCACTGGTGAGAGGAAACTGGATCTGCCATCCTTCAGCGCCCTGTTTGCCAGTGTCCCGAACACTGTTAGTGTGACTGCCTGGCTTTTAAGGTAAGTTTGGGGTTGGCATTTGCAGTCATGGCAATGGTACCACATTCATAAATGCAAATTACAAGATCTATGAGGTCCTAAATCTAGCTTATGCCATTGTAAATACTGAACAGGATGTCAGGTATCTTTTCAACTTACTATATTACTTTTGAAATGTGACTTCATTACCTCCCTCAGTAACGTCTTAAAACTAAAAATTGTCTATTTGTAATTAATTACTTCTGAGGACTGAGTATACATGTCTTCTCAAATAAGGAAGAAAGTTCCACATGCTAGGAACTGGCTATTGGATTGAAATTTTATTTTGGTTTCATCTCCCTTTCACTTTTATCTGCCTTCCAGGCTAGTTCTGAAGGAACAATATTGCTTTGAGCTCTGCAGAGGTCAGGTGCATAAGGCAGAAAGGTAATAAATTGAGTAGGTGTTCCTTCATTCTGTGAGTAAAGAGTAGATTGCTCTTTTTTTATTTAGAGCCTTTGTTTATTTAGAAAGTCTCAATACTTTGAAATTTATAAAACCTACAATATCCATAAAACTGCCAGTGCAACAAAATGCAGCAATAATTCAGGTGAAATATTTAAGCCATTCCTGGGTTTGCTCTGTCCCTGCGTTGATACATGGTAGAGCTTCATTTGGTAGGAATCAGCAGTTTTATGTGGCAATTAATTTTAACTTCAATAGGGGAGCTAAAGTGATAAAAATTTACCCTTGGTTTTCTATACAAAGGTAGAATTGGCCTAATATTTATTATTAAGATTGCAGAATTATGAGGTACAATACACAGTAGAATGAAACGCAGCTTTTAAGGTTTTGTCTAGAGCTTGGTTTAGTTTATGGCGTAATCTGCTCATTGAACCTTATTGCAGGCTTTCACTTTCCTTTAAATAAATTACATTTGATACTGTGAGAAAGTCACTTCTTAAGTTCCACATATTATTTTTCTTTTCTTCTGTTTGTGCCTATTCTTTAAACATTTTTCATATCTAATTAATTGTAGGTGAAAAATTAAGAAATGGAGTTCTGACATCAAAAATGAAAACAAACGCTACTTCCTTTCCTGATTCTTTGACTTTAACATGCAACTGGATTGAAAGATACCAAACTGGACAAAAAGGAAAGAGTCCATGTATAGCATGTCATTCTTTTTGCACAGATTTTCCTCGTCTTTTAAGGAACGTCTCACTCTATCAGTAAGCACCCATGTACAGAATGCTGTGGTCAGACAGGAAGAGGGAAAGGATTGGAGAGGGACCAGAATCCACTTGGGGCACTATATCAGTGTAACTCCTGGTTGCACACCCAGTTGTACTTTTTAAGCACTTACGTAAAGAGGTATCTAGTGCCCACTTAGCCAGGCAGTAGGCTGGGGTCCAATTTACTGCTCTTCGGGTCCTCTAGATGCCACACAGCCTGGCCTCCCCCCCAAAAAAATGAAGAAAAAGAAACAAAAGCAGGGATGTCCAGAAGTCCACTTCAGGCTTTGAGGGGGAAAGTATTTTTTTAATGTTAAATGGGTGGGGAGGGAGGGAGGGAGTCAGTGTGGTATAATGGTTTGTGTGTTGGACTGTGACTTTGAAGATCAGGGTTCAGCTCCCTGCTCAGTCATGGAAACTTACTGGGTGATCATGGGCAAGGCATACTCTCTCAACCTCAGAGGAGGGCAGAAACAAAAAACCTTCTGAACAAATCTTGCCAATAAAACCCTGTGATAGGTTCACCTTAGGACCGCTGTTAAGTTGGAAACAACCTGAAGGCACACAAAGTAACAGTGGAGAGGGGGAAACTGCAGCCTATTTAAAAGGTGGTCTACCATTCCTGGGAAGTGCCATGACAGGTAACTTATCCTTTTTGATGGCTAGGAAAATGGAGGTCTGGAGATTTGGGTCAGGGATTTCAGGGGGGGGCATGCAAAACCAGTTTTGAGGGGTCTTATGCAGTGCCAGGTCTGTACTTTCCCCACTCCTAATTTACATGGACTTCCTACCAATTTTATTTGGCTGCCATAATAAGCCTTAGAAACATAAAGTCTAGGTTTGGTGTCCAGACCTTGTAAACATCACATGTTGGGAAAGAGCAGCAAACAATTTCTTTAATAAAATACTACAGTGACAGGTACAAAATGAGCTGATGAAGGGCATTTTGCATATCTAGCAAGAATTGGCTTGTGTCCCATGTAATAGTTTATGGCCTCATGGCTGTATTATATTATATAATTCATTCTCTGTCCTAGATGTAGTCATAAAAAGCAAACTTGACAACTTTGAAGGGGAAAGAGAAAGAGAAAAAAGAGACCTGTAAAGTAGAATCCTGAAAAGTCACATGGAGGGAAAGGAAAAGAGAGACCTGAAGGTACTGAGTGGAGTTCAGCCAGAATACAATGATCGGATGCAAGGAGAAGGATGTCTTGAGACATCTGCCATCAGGAAAGTCCACTGGATGGCCTAACACTATTGGTAACTGGAAAGAGGAAATAGTGGAAGTATGGGAAGGATATAATTCTGGCTTGTAGGCTTATCCTGAAATTTAAATTGGGTGGGAGTGAGGTCATGCAGTTCTGGATGAGAGGACACTCCTAGCAGGATACAGGCATTTTGGCAAACAGAAGGCGATAGCATTTGATGCCAACCCAGCTGCTGATAAGATGCTTGGGAGGCCAGAAGGGGAGTGAAAATATGTTTCATCAACCTAAAAATGTGGATGTTTCACCCAGCATCTGATCATAACTACATTTAAACCATGAGAAGGCTGCTCAGGCCTCTTGGCATGTATCTGATCACACCATTATAACAGTTTGATATCACTTTAACTGCCATGCCTTCCTCTGAGGGAACCTTGGGATTTGTAGTTTGGAGAGGCATTAGAATTCTTTCTGGTAGGGTCTAGTGCTCTAGTGCTTTCCCCTGAACACTAGAAATCTATCAGAATACCACATATATCCTAGGAGTCCATGGGATGGCACTATAGGACTTAAAGTTGTATCAAACTGCTATAACTATATAACATAGATGCTTTCTTGGGTAGCACAAAGCGATGGAAAGAGAAATCTGTTTGTGATGTACTTTGCTGTGACAAGTGGAGCTGGGTAGCCTTTAATAACTTTAAAGGGGATATGTTGTCCACTCTTTGGCAGAGACTTCTCTTGCTCCCAGTCTCTCTCCCATACACACATAGTCAAAGGAAATACCATGGTAAAAGGAGTTTCTCCTTTTCTATATATTAATATGGTCCCCATCACCACCATCATGTTTTATAGAAATATAATGTACTGTCTTTTTTACCAGTCCTTTACATGGAAGCGTTGACATTCAAAGCTAGTATGTGTAGAGTTAGAGTTTGGCTGCATTTCCCTACATAAAAGTTCAAGCTCTCTGAAAGGGAAGCAGTCACTGCCCAAAAAATTATTTATTTCTCTTGTTGGTGGTGTCTGGGAGTATTGTCAGATACAGTAAAAAAAAAAAAAACTAGGCCAAATGTTGCCCCAGAGCAACAACCGCATCTGTATGTTTCCAAGCAACTTGGTGAGTTGGTTCACTTACAAAGGGCTTTTAAAGCACTCCATCTGGTTCCCAACCCAAGATGCGACCACCCCAAAGAATGATCTAATTCCTCTGAATTTAGATTTGGAATCTTTTCACCACCCGCTTCAGAGCAGGAAATCAAATAATAGCCGTTAGGAGCAATAAGATCCACATGCTTGTCTAATTACATGTCGAGCACGTTTGTTACTCATATTTCAACATATGTAGACCACTACAGTGAAAAAGCATAGTTCATCCTACCATTCCTTCTCCCTCTAGAATGTAATAAATTGTGGCGCAGGCTGATAAGTGAACATTAGGTATTAGACTCTTACATCTGATTTGGCATGTCCTGTGCATAATGAATCCTCTTGGTCAGACAAAATTGCATCTTTGGATGTTTTCCTTGGCAGACAGAAAGTTTGTGTGTGCAGAGATTTCTAAGGAAGAGCATACAGTATTGATTGTTGATATTCTAATGTCAATGTATTTTGTTTTAAGATGAAGCTCTGGGGAATTAATTGTTCTCTTTTTGAAATGTGCATATGGCTATCTATCTTTGGAACTGAGGATTGCTGCCAGCAAACTGTGCTGTGCGGATTCACATAATACCTAAGGGGATAGAAAAAGAGAGAAACAGTGATAACTTGACACTTAGAACTTCTGCTGGCCGCCTCACACACTCCACTGCTACTTTTGTTCCCTTCTCTCTATGTTTAAATTTGATAACTCTCCTCTGCTTGTACAAGCAAGCAGCTGTTTTCTTTATTTCCTCATTCCCCCTTTCCCTCCCCTCGTTTTTTTGCTTCAGACGCTAATTTGCTTATTTGCATCAGAGTGCAAGGGACCCGGGTGAGCAGTACAGCTTTGCCCCACTTACCTTTTTTTTTTTTTTTGAAAAAAGTCTAACCATCAAGCACTTAACAAATACAGTTTGCTTGCACAAACATGTGCATTCACATAATATATTTGTTTAGACATAGATAATATGGCTGACGTGTGGGAATACTTCTCTTTCTATACCCTTCACACAAACGATCTTTGGTGATGTCTCTCTGCCTTTGCAAAATCTTTCTTTCTGTGCTCTCTCTCAGTAATTCAGGTGATGAATGCTGCCCCAGAGCAAAAAAATTGAGTGTTAGAGGGATGGGCAAAATTTACTCTCATACTGAATGTCTAGTTGACTGCTGCTTTTCTGACATTTGAGTAGACATCTTATAAGCAAGAATAAGATCCTGTTTTATGGCAGGTCCAATAATTTGTCTAACTCAGAATTGGCTTGTGTGATTCACATTGACACTCCAGCATTTCTGGCTGCATCAGCACTGTATAATTAATGCAGCTTGACACTGCTTTAACTTCCATGGCTAAGTGCTGTGGAATTCTGAGATTTGTAGTTTTATGAGATACTTAGCATTCTCTGTCAGAGAGCTCTGGTGCCACAACAAACTATAAATCCCAGTATTCTATTTAACGGAGTCATGACAGCTAGTGGTGTCAAACTGCATTAATTCCACAGTGTGGCGGCAGCCTCAGACTGAAGTCTTTCACATTTCTCTTTCACCTGATCCTTTTAAACTGGAGATACCAAAACATGAATCTGGGATTTTATGCATGAAAAGTGTGTACTCTGCCATATATATCATTGGACATCACCTTAGGGTTTGACCACCAGTTTTTCTTTTTCATTTGTCTTCTGAAGATATCAGGAAGCTAAAATTTACTTTCAAGAGATACTTTTTGTTTGATAGCTTTTTCAAGAATAAATCATATATTTACTTGTATATCCATACTTATTTATTTAGGAATAGTAATGTTCAAACTGGAAGTGATTTTTTAAAAAGTAAATTTTAATACCTACTTTTTAATTTTTAAAAAGTTTTTTTTAAAAAAAACCCACAAGTATTGCTATAATGTAATAATTGCTATTACTGTCTCCTGTTTACAAAAGCAGTTCTTGATTCATACTTGTACTTTTCTATCGTGGTTTCCTGTGGGAGATCTCTCCCAGGTCACAGGAAGTGTGACTGGGCTCAGAGCCACATACATTCCACATTGTTAATTTTGTCAGACGAAAAAACCCCGAAACAAATTCCAGAGCAGTGCCAATGTGCTTCTAAAGAACTGTCAAGGGAATATAGAGGATTTGTTGGACATTTTTAAGGGCAGTTGGCAAAAACATGGACTGTTTAGACTGGAATTTTGTCAGCAAATGATAACAGATAGTTTTAATTGTAGGTATGTACCTGTGTCTTACTATTTTCTGGAAAAAATGTGTACTGATGGCCATGCCCGTGATGATTGCGTCCTGACTTTATTTTTATTTGCTAACTATGGGGCAAAACAGGCAGGCAACATGAGCAGGTTTCAGGATGGCTTCAAGGTGGGGCATTTAGATGAAACACACTTTGGAAAGTGCCCTCTAGCTATCTTATGGGGAGAAAAACCACTTCAAAAAGAAGCTGCTTTTTTCCGCTTCTTCCTGGAAAGTGCGCACTTTGGCATGTACATATAAATGCACCAATGCCAGTGTGGCTCTAAAGGGGTGTTCTTTCCAAACCCAACTCTAATTGTGCATGTAAACGCACCATTGCAGGAGCACATTTAAAAGGAACAGAGCTGCCATACACAAGTGGTGGAAACCATGAAGAGTACAACATACACAAAACAGACAAAGAAGGGGCATGGGGTGAAGGGGGAATGAAGGGAGGCATGCTTGCTGACATCTGCATGGGTACACCTCTGCTCTAATGCCCTGTCCCAGTGAAG